AAACTATTTATATTATCGATCATTTTAATATTCCAACTGTGTCTTACTTTCTATCATGCGATGGATCTCGGGATTGTATGATTCTAAAGCAGTCTGGTATTGTCTTCATTTGTGTCCAGTTGAATATTGTAATTCATGGCAATGTCGTACCATAGCTGTTTTGTAGAGTTTATGATTAGTTCTGGATATTTTTTTTTTTTGTGGTGTGTTCAAAGGAAAAAAATAATATTTCTGAATCCCAATGTATAATTGATTCACAAGATCATAGACACATCTAATTACATTACAACTAACAATATAACTAACAAGTAATCCCGTTTTTCTTACTAAAGGCATAACTAACAAGTAATCCATGTACATCATCAATCCACTGAAGAAGAAAAAGTGAAAAACAAAATCTTAATGTACCAAGTTCTAGACAAAACCATTGAAAAATATATCTCACTTTTTTCTTAGTATTGTAACCTACTTACATTCACGCTGAAAATGCGTCAAAATATGCAAAAATTATATGTACTACAATAAATTAGATAATTAAAATAAAAAATTAACCTAATAAAAGTTTTAGAACATTACTTAGAAATTTAGTCTACAAATTTACAAGTTCCTAAAGTATTATATTAACTATAAATTCAGATATAGTTTTTTTTGTAGATTACACAAGTTTCTAAAAAACAACAACACAGGAGTTCAGTTTTGTTCCTTTTACCCAACTAATTTATAATCGGAGAAACATAAATTTCAAAACTATTTTGTAAAATTAATTTTATAATAAAAATTAATTTATAACTAAAAATAATAAGAAACAGATTAATAAGACACAATCTAATTTTGAAATGATAAAGATAACACGAAACATAAGCTACGCTTGCCAAGCATCCGTATAAACTGCCAAAATGTTGCAATACAGAATAATATTTTTTTTGGTTTGGGTTCCATTAAAAATTTAGTTTGACAAAAAAAATCCATAATCTAATTTTGAAATGATAACTTTAAGATAAATGAGATGAACCTATTGACTATTCACGTGTATCTTTTATTATAAAGTCTTTCAAATGTAACATATTTTCATACAAAAATAAAAACAAAATACTCTTATGTAATTTAACAAAATTATCATGTATATATTATACTGATAGGATAATCAAATTAATATATCTTCATATCTCTGAGTAGATAGTTTATTGTCTAAGATACCACTAATAAAATGTTCTAAATTTAAAAGATAAAATATAAATATTAACAATTAACCATATATTGAAATTATGTATCAAAATAATTAATATTATTAGAAAAACCGGCGCGTAGCGCCGGAAAATCCCTAGTTATTAATAATTTCAACCTCACATTTTATTTGTCATAATTGACCAGCTTTCTGAATTCTCTAATATTTTTTTTCTAAAAAGAATTCTTTATGGAGTATGATTGTTCCCAAGTCTAAAGATGTCTGTAAATAGATCTATTACTTTTATATCGATTCTTTAGAGGCGTCAGATTTGAGATCAACGTGTTGTCAACTTGCTGTATATAACCAGCATTTATATACAGAAAGCTAGATTTAAGCTTTGGATTATATCGAAAGTGTCCCAGAACTTAACCAATAGATTGAGATTCTTTCGAGCACGTTTTATTACCTTATCGTTTTGTAGTTGTTACAAGCATACAGTTTTTTTTCAAAAAGCCAAAAACAGTTTTAAGTTGATGTAGTACTTGCTGAGGAAAAATGTATTATATAAGTTGTGAGAAAAGAAAAGAAAGAAAATAAATTGGAAGATGATAAAAGAGACAAAGTGCTACATTAAGGCAAGGCAGCGCAGCCTCATAAAGTGACGATTCCTTAAAAACATAACAAGTTGGGTGGCATATGTTATAGTGCGTCCACGCACCATGAAATTGAAAGCAATAATCCATTTACTTTACACTAAAGTAATCGTGCTTAGTCTTTGTTTAATTTTTGTTAACTAAAAGCTTATGAGATAATTTCTACTCTATGAACCCGCGCAAGTGGGCTAGTGGTAGGACGATGTCCAGCTGAGAGAGCTTCGGCCTCAATACTCTGGCTTCGAATCCCCACAGCTGCAAACAT